TCATGGAGTATGAAATCCTCATAAAATAGAAAGACATGCATCAGCCGAATAAATTACGAGGGTTGCCTTTTATATTTTGAGATTTGGCAAGACTAGTGTAGCGATCTAGCAACTGACACCACTATCGTAAAGTTTGACTATTTCGAGGTTACGCTGCGAAATTTGATCGCGATTTGTGTTGTTTACACTAAGTTATAAGATTTTGTTTAGGCCAGGTTATGGGAGTGAATCGTGACCGTGGAGTGACCCAAAAAATCAGGAAATCCAACTGCTGAAGACGGATCACTCTTCACAACGACAATGCGAGCTCCCACTTATCGGCTCAAACCAGTGCATTTTTGAGCACTCAAAACAATGATTTGACAGGTCATAAGCCATGTAGTCCCCGGATGACTTCTTCTTATCTCGAACGTAAAAAATAAAATGAGAGGTCAACGTTTTTCGACACCTGAAGAAGCCGTTGATGCATTCAGAATCCATGTTTTAGGGTGACCTACATCAGAGTGGCAAAAGTGCTTCAAAAATTGATTCGAGCCCATGCAAAAGTGTATAGATCTTAATGTGGATAGTTTTGAAAGGCAGTAAACCGATTTTCGATGAATAGTATTTGTTTCTGTTCTCAAATCTCAAAATATAAAAGGCAACCTACGTATAATGGACCAAATTTGATGGTTAAGTGGACGTGCTATCGTGCACATCATGCAAGATTTCATGCGACGTGCACGATAGCACGACTGCCAGATAGCTCGACAGACCTTGGATCTTACAAGAGAAGAGCTGCTATGGAAATATTGAGTTGAACTTTAGTTACATTCATAGTTTAGTTATGCCAACATATTATGTAAGCTTATCTGTATAGTCTTGCGATTTAGCACACCAAAGCAGTGTGCTCGAGTGAACGCGGTGGTGAACATTGTACTAGAATTCCCACGATCGCAGACACGCACGCGGCTGCGATTTGTCGACAACTACTGTGATCATTCCTGAAAGTTCACATCTTACCTTTACCGTACGCACTCAGCGGGTGCGATGAGCGCGCACTGTGAAGGTAAGATTCGAATTTCCCAAGATGATTACGATATCTCTCACGCAGTGTACCCTATAGGACACAGTATACTTACGTATGTGTAGTCAGAACCGAGAAAGAATTTCGACAGTTAATCGGATTTACTGGCCTGCTTATGGCAAAGCCAATGTTTTTGCATTAACTAACAAATTCGCAACAGTCAGATTATCCTGTCACAGCTGATCGCCTGCTTAGCCTGAACGAATCCTCGGCCTAAATTTTCATCTGAGGATCCATACTGCTACGTCCCCTTGGTTCACCCCACTTACAAAAAAAAGGAGAAAATGAATTCAAATTGCGTTGTATACTGTAGGGATACCTTAGGCCACAAACTGAGAGCACCACAGCTTCAACTTGGACACCTTCTAAACATATGTAACGAAATTCCAGGAGATTTGATTTTTAAATCGTCAATGAATCGCCGAAAATGAGCACATCAGAATAACCGGTCGGCCCAACAAAATATGTTGAAATTTCCTCCATTCTTGCTTCATTCTTGCTTAATCGAAGCTTTAGGTTCGGCCATTTCGCAGCTGAAAACCCTTAGAAACGTATGCCGAGCATTTGGCATCCTAGTCTTTCCCGGTACTGGGCACAACTCGTTCCAAAGCTTCTCGTCTTGATATAAAATGTCAAAATGAACCTCGAACTGGTTACCCGAATGCGTCATCATGAAAGCACTGGCTTGTTAAGCACATACAACTGATGCTAAGCAGTCTTCCCTGTAGTATTTCTGTAGAAGCTTCCAGAAAATCAGTAGAGAGACCTCGACTGGTGTGAAATTATGGGCATATACATTCTGCACAGCCTAATAAATAATTACTAACGATTAATATAACAAAGATAAAATGATATTTAAATTATTCGTTGACAGAGGAGAGAACTGCCTACTGTAAAGTTCCGAGGGGACGACGAGTGCAGCAATATGAGAGGGAAAACGAAGCTAAACGAACGTACTGCGGTTAGGCGCAAATTTGCCTGGTGCTAATTATCCGTCACAGATGCAATGCGTGAACCACGTCTGGCTGACGGACAACTCTGGCTAGCTAATTTGGATCGAATTTAGTATCTGCCTAGTGCCCAAGCACAGTGGGAAATGAGTGATGAGAAGGCGGCGGTTAGAGCTTTCACCATAGGCACATCAACGGTGGATAGGGCATCTGAGCGCCAAGTTGTTCGGGGCCATTTTTCTATGTGCAACGGGCCGTTAATGCTAGAACGGTCAAAAAAACTGCACATACGTAAGCAACCATCAGCATGGCCATTAAGGAACGCAGATTCCGGAAATGAATAGGAAGATTTACCAAGAAACTGAGCAACTACCTTTGCAATGTGGGTATATGCAAATGATTTTCCGGTGTTAGCTTCATTCCCATATACCTAATAGATTATACAATACTATAGTTGGCTTATGGTAGCGAAACTATGGAGATTCGTGGAAGCTATTACTACGCGAGTCAAGAGATCGAAACGGATGGACATAATCATAAAAAATTTTCTTGTCCCTGTCATCTTGCTCAATATTCCTCGACTGATTTCTTTCCGTATCCGCCAGGGTTCTCAGATGGCCTACCGTTAAACTCTGCATAGACATATGTAGGTAAGAAGATATCTTTTTATGATACGGTATGAGGCACCGAGCCCTTTGCTCTTAACAGCTTTTGAAGCATGCTTACCTTCGAAGAATTGTGAAAGCTACCAGTGCTTGATATATCACTTTCATGACAACCAAATGATACGCATTCCATATTCTCTAAAGAAAGCCCACGCTGTGGACTACATCCAAAAATGGTTTCTGAAAACGTCAAATCTACGACGCATCTCATCAATCTCCAAGATTTTGTTGATTGATGCATATGCAGTACGTTAGTGGAAAGACCTTATATTGGTGCCTATTCATAGAACGTTGGTCATAGACCAAAGTCATCACATTACCTAGTCGTCCTCATTCGTACGGAACAAGTGACGACATGAGTATCTTCAACGGGAAGACATGACACGGTTTGACTCCTAGGATATTGCTGACAATGGAGAAATTGGACAAAATAGGATGAGACCAACTTGGTTTCAGTGAGATAACTGCACGTTCTTCTCACGTCAAGAAAAGAGCATTCAAAAGAGCAGTAAAAGCGACCACGACCTACTGTTTGTATTATAGTTTGTCAATTGGAAATGGGTGCAGCCATCCGCGTGACCCTGATAGTTCGATAAAAGAGCTCAAAGCAGACAACAAATTGTGAGCAGAAACAACAATTTGTGGAAAGCCTTGTGGCAGTAGCTTAACTCCCCTATTCATACAAAACTAGGACTAGAGCATAGCCTCGCTCCTAAGAAGAAAGACAGGTTAGTATTATCGCCTTTTGTTCACTCATAAGCCTATTTTCGTTTCATAANAGAACGTTGGTCATAGACCAAAGTCATCACATTACCTAGTCGTCCTCATTCGTACGGAACAAGTGACGACATGAGTATCTTCAACCGGAAGACATGACAAGGTTTGACTTCTAGGGTATTGCTGACAATGGAGAAATTGGACAAAATAGGATGAGACCAACTTGGTTTCAGTGAGATAACTGCACGTTCTTCTCACGTCAAGAAAAGATCATTCAAAAGAGCAGCAAAAGCGACCACGACCTACTGTTTGAATTATAGTTTGTCAATTGGAAATGGGTGCAGCCTTTCGCGCGACACTGATAGTTTGATAAAAGAGCTCAAAGCAGACAACAAATTGTGAGCAGTAACAACAAGTTGTGGAAAGCCTTGCGGCAGTAGCTTAACTCCCTTATTCATACAAAACGAGGACTAAAGTATAGCCTCCCTCCTACGAAGAAAGACAGGTTAGTATTATCGCCTTTTGTTCACTCATAAGCCTATTTTCGTTTCATAATTAGCAGTTGTTAAAAAGGGCAAGGTTAACATGAACTAAAGTGCATTCCATTGCGCAGAAGAAGCATGCGAAAAAGTTACACCCTTTTAGGGCTCGACTTCATGGAAACGACTCATATCCACCCCAGTGACCTTGCTAATTCTTTCAAACTTTTCGTAGTTCTAAAAAGGACAAGGTGTGTTCTAATGTGGAAGCCTACTATTCAGGTGAGAAGCCTCTCATATCCGCATACCCATGTCATAGCCTACTTCCAGATGACTTTCAAAAAGGAACCTTCAACAGAAAATCTGTTAGAAGAAATCAAGCAGCATGTTTCGAAACCCAAGAATCTTCTCAATGGAAGCGTGGATTATCAGAAAACGATCAATTTAAGAAACCGTCGTACCTATAATTCTCTGATCCACATCGGAGTTGTTGCTAGATCATGCTTAGGCTGTGCCATGTCAGCAGCCGAATACCTACAAGTTAATTAGAAGGAGTGGGTACTCTCCCTTAAGGTATTTCTATTTTGCTTCTGATAACGTAAGAAAAATTAGGCACACAGGCCAAACTGCTAAAAAAANAAAAAAACAGAGATGAAAAAACTTGCTTTACTTTTTTGATATACATTACTGTCACAGTGGAAGTGAGTGACAGCGAACAAAATATGCTGACGGTGTACATATATAGGCTATTACAAAACATATAGTAAAGAAAGTGGTAGGTGAGCAAAGACATATCACAAGGTGAGATAAAGGACGTGACAGTGATGGGGGAAATGAATGGCGGCAACGAAACCCGTGAAAGTTGGGCACGTTAGATGACTTAGCCGAAATGAAACGGAGATCATTACTCATACACAGAAGCTAAAGAAGAAGGAAATGAAAAAGGATTACTATTTGATTAATAAAAAAGGAGGGGTTAATAGGTTGCATTCCACATAAATCTATAGACTATGAATATGAAGTAAACAGAAAGAAAACAGCTTCGTAAAATTCTCAAGCAAAGGTGAATCGTGTATATTGGACAGACACGGTTACTTCAAAGGAGACAGGATATTCATCGAACCTCGATTTAGTTCGAGATTAGCCAGTTGGGAGCATGAAGCGGCCACATCTAGGTTTTCTATTGAGTTGAATCGTTTTAAAGTCAACTGTGACATGGAGCGTCTACGAATGAATTTCATCGGAACGGTTGGCACTTGAAAGTTCTCCCGAGCCCTGCAAACAGAAATCTTTCCGAATCATAAGACGCACCAGAAATGGCACAAAAATTCATAAACTCCTGTATTTCGAAGTACCTTGCCAAAGCCTTTGCGTGTGCCAACGATCCACCGCTTTCAGAAGAGCCAGATCCAATCGCACTGTCATCAGAATTGTGTTCACGGCGACCTGTCGTCGCAAGACACATCATAGAGCTGAATGGTAGAGCTTTACAAATACGTCGGGCAAAACACGACGAAAGCCATCAAAGAAGAAAAAGCCTTATTTCAAACTTTCCGAAATTCCCATAAACGTACCCAGCAATGTTTCGATTTTTAAGAAGAATCTTTTCGGCAGCCGGCTTTACAGCACTTCTGGTCACCGAGATGGGAGGCGCTTCGCATATTGTTTCTGGAGTAACATTGCACATGTTCTGAGAAATATTTTCAATAACATTTGGATTGCGTGTCGGTGGGCGGCTTGGAACAGGACACTGGAAAGGATTTATAGGATTCTAATGGAAATCAGCATATTGTGAGATCAGTTTTTTGTTCTACTGATAATGAAAAGAACCCTCTTGATAGAAATACTCACCACGAGCGCGTATTCCTTATCGTTAGGATGAATAAACTCGCAGCGAAGACCGTATGGGCAATAGTTAGACGCGTAAGGTCCGAAGTTTTTGCAAAGTTTCGTCTTGTATCTAGCATTAGGAGCACGAGGTGGCTAAAATGGCTGGATATTGGAATGCTGACAGTTTTCTCACTGGAGTTCCTGGTGATTTTTGGCTCTACGCGAAACTGTCACAGGAAAATCACGTTCAGCAAGTTCTAATTACGAAATGATGAAGAAAGTCAATCAAAATATGAAAAGTGAAACATAATTAAGAGCTTAATGGAAAGGTGACATGATTTAACTCACAGCGTCAGCAACACGAAGTTCCTCGGGACCATGAGCAAACTTGCAACGGCTTCCCATTTCACATTGCTTTCCTGATGCATATGTTAGACACATTCTGGTTTTATAGTTGAATGGCACGGGCGGTGGACGTCTTTGACGAGGGGGTCGCTGTTAATTTAAACCAATGACATTTTTTACAATGTGATGAACCTACTTCATCTCGTCTCACCTCCAACTCCTGCTCGTTCTCCCCTCCAATCGTTTCTTCAGAGACAACTGAAATTTTTGATAAATTGGCTAGCACATCATCCTGCTCCATGTTCCTAAACGTCATAGTAAAACTCAAAACATCCAACAGTATCTTTCTAAATAAGTGCTTCCGACAAAGAAAAATACAAAGTAAAAAAGCACCTGTGATATTTCAGATGGGCAACATTGAGATTGCCAGCGTATGGCAGTTGATTTGTCATCGGTGGTGGGATCGTAGTAAACTCTGTCGGTAACGGAGTAGATGTGCTCAGAGGACGTACAGCGGACTTAGCTCTATTCATTGGAACTGAATGGAAAAGCTTTTCGAGTTGATAGAATTACTTCTTTAGCTTTTATAAAATATATAACTTGAATATTTTGGAATTGATCGCGATTTCAAGTACAATGCAGCGCAACTTGAAGGAGCGACCACCGCTTATACTTTCAAAAGTTCGTTGGAAGAGATGGTCGTGGCAAAAACATCAGAGATCGGTGGCATACTACGCATATAGACAGTCGATGAAAGCTGCGTAACAATGAAATCAGGATAACTGCGAAATAAGAAAAAAAGAAATTCATCTTATTTGAGTTCTCATACTGGACTGTTTCAAAGCATAAAAAAGTTCACTTGAATTAATATTTCATGCCTTCAGAACGTTTCGTTAAAATTCTCAGTCTACTGAGTGTTCTGACGTGAACTATGCTCACCTTCAGCTGGCAATATAGTTTGTGGCTGCGGCATAGGTTGTGGAATTTGCATTTGAGGTTGGACGAATACATCTGGTGCGTAGAAGTATTGAGCTGTAGTAGCAGTAGCAGGAGGAGCTGTCGGTACCGAATAGAATACAGGATTGCTCGGTGTCTGCATGTATATGAATCCCGGATGGCCTGAAAATGGGTGGAAAGATGTGTGTGGGAGAGTGTGGCTTTGCTCAAGTTTGTAAACTAGTCAAGTTGAGTAGGTTTTTTGTCCTAAAATGTCGACCTGTTAGGTCAGCTCACTATTTTTAAATGTTCTTTATTACGATCAAATTCAACATTTTGAATTATTTCTGATTTCTTAATTTGACATGCGCTAAATTCCGCATTAGGTTGCCTACACTTCTGATATCAATTTGAAACTTCTCGTCACATGGAACGATAAACTCCTACATTAAGGATCTTAATACGGATTTCACTTTACGAAAAAATATGTTAGGCAGTGATCCAGTGTAACATCCAAATGGGCGAAATCAAGAGGCATGAAGATAGTTGAGCCAAGTGGATTTACTTTTTCCTCGTTTTATTATTTGTGCGGAAAGTATCTGCTGAAGATTTCACAATAGTCCAGATTCCCTCTGGAATCAGAAAGTTCCATAGAAAAACTATGAAAGGGCAATATTCGCTGTATGTGCATGAAATATAAGATCACATGACACAGCAATGGGTTGACCAGATCGTGGTTTACCTTCGAACTTTTTGTTTTGGGTTGTGAAGCAATGGAACAAGGTCTCCAAAAACATTCTTGATGGGCTTTTAACCAAATGCTTGAAAATACAAGTTTCGATGGGTTTCAGCAAAGGAGAGGTCATATTCGAGTTTGTAAAGACATACGAGTTGATTATGGGTAACAGATTGGTCGTCTATAGTTGGACTAACAAGGAAGATGTGGCTGGTTATGTTATACGTGTACGCGTGGGCTGATCCTCAAATAGGACCCTCACGCAGTTTCTCGATAACACTGCAAAAATCTGGACCATTGTGGCAATTAACTACTAAGTATTAATTGAAGTTTTTTAGCAGGTACTTCGCTATGGAACTTCGTGCAGCAAGCATCCGCGGTGATTACCGGCTAGAATGTTGAACTTAAAGGTGCTACCTCTCTCGTGTTCTGTCAACCCTCAAATGAATCATTATCCGAATCATCTGCCAATCAATCTACCTTCAGAAATGAAAGGATAGTGATACATAAACTGATTGTGAAAATAGTGGGCACATGTAGCCCATTTCTCATTAGCGTTTATTGTGACTGAGTGCTTGTGAGTGAGGGAGTCCTAGTTAGGGGTGGACTAGGGCGGCTCTGTACGTGCGGGCTTCGTTTCTTCCGAATTTACCAAGTAGAAAGGGAGCCTTACGTCGAAGGATTCGAAACGTGCAGCGATGCCCTTATACAGCGAAGAGGCTAGTCCGACAAAGTGTTACTGGACGCATTGGGACGCTTAGAGCATGGGCATTACCCCCTAAATGGATCGAATTCTGAGTAGCCTGTGCCAGCTGTCTGCCGGGAGCTGAGTAACCAAGTTCTCAGATATTACCTAACTGACTCTCCATATAGCCTTGCATTGGGAAGACATCGTTCCGGTATCTTCCACACATAAGACTTTCGAACACCTTTTCGAAAAGCTGAAGTACCATCCATGAAAACTCAGATGCTGTGAATGCTCAAATTTCCCAGTGTGGATGACACATTGTAAAACAGATTTCAATACTTTGAACATTTTCTAAGAGATTCCTACAGCAATGAAGGATTCGATTTTGGAGGTCCTCAACGGAGCAATCTCATCTTCAGCGCACTCTTTTTCAGTTTCCATGATATTATGGTTGACCTGCACAATACAGAAAGTGGCTCCGGTCATTATAAAGCTCCTCCAGTTCAATTGCCGTGATCTATAGCCAAATAACCTAGTCGAACTCAGTAGAAGAAGGCTCTACGTCGATCGGGAGAAGAAAAAAGTGTTTGAACTAAGTCATGGCCACCCCAGGTGCTGCTCTTTACGGGACAGGGACAGTAGGAACTCCTTATATCGCGAAACCTATTGATAACTAAGAACAAAGAGTTAGACTACGTGAACTCACCGACAGGCATTACGACTTGTTGTGCGCTTTGCGAAGGCGTAGGTGCAACCACATAAGGTTCAGCATAGTATCCTCCGGCATACTGATAGGAGACACCCGGTTGAGGAGCCATAGGTTGTGCAGGTGTCGTCGTGTAGTAATACTGGAAAGGTAACTGCATTGACTGATGGGTACCGTCGTTAGACGCTGAACAGACTGATTCACCTGATTTGCATCAATGATTTGACCAGCTGGTTGCATTTTATCTTGAGTTTACGAATCAAGGTTAGCAATCACGTGATAATAAAATTGCATCGGATAACAACACAGATAAAACAATCCGATGCAAACCTGATTCACTGGGGTTAGTGAGGTTCGCGAGAAAATCTGAAAAAAGACCCAGTTCTGTGCTTAAATACATTATTTCAAGCACATCGTCGACATAGAGGAAGTAATGAAGAACGAGAATCTACCAAAAAGATCTCAAATGTAGTTTAGGCTCTTTTTAATTCAGAAACCCATTTGAACATCAAACAGATAACTGGGATATTGAAAAGGTAAAGTTGCCAAAACCTAATTCAGAAGATATCTGAATCTACACACCCTGCGATCCATACTCTACTAAAACAGGATTTCCCATAAAAAAAGAACAAAAGAGAAATGTCTGAATGCTGTTGGCCAACCTTTCCCCACAGGTTTCTGACAGAGAATTCCGGAAACCGAGTGGACGGTGGCATGACAGTATGGCATACTGGCATGTTCCTGCAGTAACCCCCTGAACACTTCCGTCTGCGCGCCAAACTTACTGATTTGACTCGGGCGATCGATAAATCTTATTCTGTATCCGTGTCATGTAGGGTTCGTGTAGAGATTGGTCAAAACAGGAGCTCGATGAGTACGATTAGTTGGGTTGACAGTGATAGCCGACTCAGCGGTTCTACCAAGTTACTCTTCACCATTCGTTCGCTGTCTGCGGCTTTTCAACTGCTCCAGATGGGCTAGTTTGGGCGGAAATGACGTTGAAATCCCCCATTCTACCATCAACATCCTCCACCTTACTCTTCGATTTATTTGCTGACTAGGCAATGGATCCCCATCGCCGTAGAACAGTCTTTTCGAAGCTAGCAAGTTGTCGATTTTGTAACAGACGAATCATTTTTATAAGTCAAGGAAAAGCCTTTCCAATTTAACTGCCAATTTTGCAGTACTTCTACCATTTCCGCGCGACAAATTCAGCAAAGCACGAGTAACGAGAGCTTATTCCTTCCTACCAACTTCCTTTATCTGACATTGAGCTCACACTAAAGCCTCAAAACTCTATAATTGTCGAAACGACCGTATGAGCGTTGTATATGTAGCCTCGACGTGTTTGGAAAACCACTCTTCACAAGTTCCCGATAGTTCAATGCCCAGACCAATGATTTTTATCTTCCACGTAGATTTTTCATCATATCAATAGTGTTTTCGATAACCGAGCCGAAGTTACTACTCACAAAATGAAGGGGTTCGCGTTCTCAAAACTGCGGACTGCGCAACAAGGCTCTTCTCAAAACGGCTATGAAGATACACTTCTTTTCCAGATTCTCTGGCTTCACACCGTTCCATCAGATACTCCGTTCAAGAACGTTCAACTTCAAATGAACCATGACTTCCTCCTATGCTATACCAAAACCATAAAAAAAATCTTCATTGTCTCCACAGTTGAGTCAGTATGATGATCAGTTATAAAAAATCTATTAATTCAGAACTTGTTCGTAACAATGAACATGAACTGAGTCTTTATGCATATCAAATGGATTAAAAGAAATCATAGAATCAATGTCTTCTTGAATACTCTATTAAAAACACTCTACCGAACCGTATATCATAAGTGACAGAACCCATATTCTTCTTAAGTGATGCCTTCACGGGAAGGCGGATCAAAGATCTAAATGTACCGAGATAAAAACCCACAGCTCACAAAATACAGAAATGTCAGGAGAAACCATAGCTTTACAGAAATCAATGTTGGACGCAGCAGATGTAGCGAGATTCGATTCCAAACATTGAAATTCCCATACAGTTAGCAAGGAAGGGTAGAACATATTGGGAAGGATAAACACGTAAAACCGATAGAGAAGAACTAAACACACTAATCATGCGTTAGAGAAAATGCAAAATAAAATTATTACCGAGATACAATAAATTTGGGGAAGTTGTGATCTCTTTTTCAATTCGATGCCTCCGTAGAAAATGAGTGGTTCTGAGAATACCTTCTAAGTTGAAATATGAAAAAAATTGAACTGAGAATTTTTGCTACTGATTCTCGAGAACACGCAATTCCTAGAGCTCTGAAATACAAAAAAACTCGTATCACCACTACAACACACGAACTCAATTAACTATTTTGTATGACGGCTTTCTGCAAGAGGAACTCCAGGGTAGATGTTGGCGAAACGACGACGACTCGAACCAGGCGAGGCACGTAAACTGCAATAATTGAAACATGAGAGCTGAAAGTAGTAAGCCCACCATGGCTGAATGACATGTGAGAGCTTGCCTTTGAATCGGACAAGGAGCGTCATCAACTGCCTGCGTCGATCCTTCAGAAATTAACGGTGAAGACTCCATTGGCGCTGTGGGCACCTCTGTCTCCAGGTTCTGGAAGGAAGCTCCTTGATTAGCAGACGCCTTTTGGGCAAATATAAAAGTGTCAGAATTGCCTCAACGCTCAGCGCACGTGTACGAGCCATGGGTTGAGCAGAAGATAGATGTTTGTTATTGTTGATTGTAGTGTTCTCAGGATCGCCAGCAGCCTCAAGACGTTTCACAATACTCATTTTCCGCACCTAGACGTTTATAAAGAAATGCAGTTTTTTGAACATGAGACGGCACAACAGTAAATACTCAAGTCAAAATAAAGGAATACATGAAATGAATGCAAGAAACGCACAGTTTCAGCGTCGTAGTCAGGCCAATAGAGGGAATCTTTTCTTTTAGTTGAACAATCATTCGAAGCTGATGAGGAAGCACCAGAGTTTCTGAATTGAATGATGTGATCACCTCTTTCTGAAGGGGACCGCTATTAGAGTAGCAAATTACACCTAGATCTTTTGAACAAGTTTTAGAACTTCGTCCATGGCACGAGAAGGACGCGTATATAGCCGACCAGAATTCAGAGGAATTAAGATGAGGTGGACTGGCACTAGGAGCTGAGTAGAAATTCCCACGCTATCCCTTATTTAGTGCTCCCGTAGCAGCCTTGCCAAGGAACAGCAAAGGTTACTCTCCAGTCTACCCTGCTGCCTACCATTGAGTGCATATGCCGAGGTTTGCTGACACAGCATATAAGCAGCATGCTTAGATGAAAGGGATAGCTTTGCATAATGCAACTATTCTTCGAACTTAGAAACACTTTAACCATGGGTACTACGCTGCGACAGGTGAACTTTATAACTTATCCATATTATTAATTAATGTATTTTGTCTGAAAATATAGACTGACTTGAAACTTGGTTGCACAGTTATCTTCCACAGTTGGTGAGCAATGTCATGGGTAACTAAACCACCCACATTTCCATTGATGAACGAAAGCAAGAGCACTCCATCACATCTATAAATAACATGAGAATGTTATAGAAAAAGCCAGACTAGCAATGTTTTACCTTAAAATCTTGTGGATAAAGTAATCTACAAGAGCTCGGCTGGTGACGGGTGTAGGACGAACTCCATGTTCGGCCAAGGCATTGGAAAATAACACGTCTTGGGTCTGAAAAGAGATACAAGGATGAGTAAACTGTTGCTTCTCTCCTTGTAACCTTAGAGCTTTGGTTTTTTAACTATGGACAGAATAATATCTCACCAACTCATGATGAGAAAAATTGGGCTCACTATGTTGTTTATGTTTTTAAACAGAAACTTAAACTTTCAATTGCTAACGTGAGCGTAGCAGCCTTCTTGCATATCGATCATAAAACTTACAGGCAAAAAGTTGTCAGCTATGAGCGAGCGATACACAGGAAACAGAAGAGCTACCATCTGTCTGATAGCGGATAAGAAAGAGGCAAAAGTCACAAAGACGATCCAAAACCATAGGAAGGTGTAGATTTTTTCATTTATGAAGTTGAGCATCAGCACACACTGCATATTCACTTGGTGCAAATTAGCAAGCGCCTGAAATACCACACCCTACTGATTTCAAAACATAGATTCGCTACCATAAGTTGATTTGTATGGTGCTTGAATACGTAATCTTGCAAAACGAGAACCCACAAATTTGGTCACGTCACACAGCACAATTCTCGGGAATATGCCGACACTTGGATTTTCTGTACCATTTAGCACAGTATAAAGCAGCTAGAACATATTTCGCACCGACACATCGCTTGAAAAACAGCACAAAGAACAGCTGCCAAAATTGCTAGACCTACATGAATCCCCCATAAATAGTCGCCTTCACCGACAAAGTATGTAAGCATGTAGAGCTGTCCGAACCCATTGATAACTTCAAGCCATTTTGTTATGCTATAGCAAATAGAGGCCATCGATGAGCCAAACACCGATCTACATACAAAAAGAAAGAACATCCGCGTGGTTCATAGACTCATAACCAATTGTTCACAAAAGAGAGATGAGAACCGAATGCGAGGATACCTCCGTCGCTTTGCTTCCAAGACATCACGGATAAAATTAGCAAGATTGTTAAGCGCTGCTGCGCGATCGTCGCCAACAAGCGTTCGAAGTTTTTGCGCTTCAACAATGGCTGTTTCCAAATCGACTCCTTAAGATTACAACAGTATAAAAACTTTAGAAAATTATGACAATTGCCTACTTATTTTGTGTCATGCGAATTTTTTGATCAATTTCAGAAGTCTTTGCAAAAACCGTGATTGCATTTGATTTGCATTTTTCATAAGCTCGCTCTAAGTTAGTGAACTTACCGTGACACAAATGGGCGCCGACAAGTTTCCAAAACAGTTTGGGAACCAAGAAAAAGAGAGCTTGTAGGAACAACACGTACGGCACCCACTGAAAACCACTCGATAACTATTCCTCAATTGTAGGGATAC